AAAGATGGAGTGATAGAGAGACAGATAGAGAGAAAGATTGGGGAAGAGAGAAATTTAATAAAAGGAAAACGTCAAGAATTGAGTAAGAGGTCGCTCGTTCAAGTTTAATTACAGAATACATATTTCCATATGTAAACTAACTGTGTGAGCTTGTTCATCTTAACATCCCTTCTTAATTCAGATAGTTTGAAAGCATTAGAGCTTAATGAATGAAGCTTCTGAAACTTCTTCAAGCTTGCTGGAAGTTGCTCCTCTCCTAATGATAATTTTTTTTTATTTAATTAAGAAAAAGAAAAAGGAAGAGAGCGTTTACGAGCGAAATAAAGTTGAAAACGAAATGGAAGAACAAAAAAAATATTTCGACAGCAGAAACGATTTGACCAAAAAAAGGAACGAAAAGCGATAAAAGTTCGATCATTGAACGAATTCAAATCGAATGTGACCAGATGTATGAGGAAAGGAGTTTCATCATTGAGAGTTTGAAAATGAAATTGAAAAAGAAAAACTTTTTTTTTCCATTTCATTTCAACCAATTGAGTCATTTGTACACACAAAACATCAATTTGCATATTTTTGCATAACAATCACATAACACGTGAACATTTCACGTGAACATGATGTAATCAGAGAATTAGCTTGTTGGGGGAAATACGCATAGAATGGTTAGCATCTCTCGTCACTCTCACTTCCTGTCTACACTAGCAACAGCTTACTCACTCACACTTTTTATATCTCTCTCTCTCTCCAAATATTTCTCCCTCTCTCTCTCTCTCTCTCTCTGTGCATTTTACTCTTCATATCAATTTTTATTTCCTTCAACACCTTTTACATAGCAACATGTATCTCTTTCCCTTTCTCTTTTCATCTTTATAATTCATATTCTCTTTGAATGGTGATAGCTTGTTCAATATTCACCTATAATTAGATATCTATGAGGATAATCCATAACATTGAATGAAGTATGAAGGATTTCAATTGAAATCCATCTACATCTGATGATCAGAAGACAGAGATGATGATGACGAGCAAGAAACGAAAGTAAATTGAGAACTACAGGAAGAAAAAAACTTTTTTTTGTACATAATTATCTTATCTGAGCATACAGTCAGTCTATCTTCTTCTTCGTTGTTTCAAGTGGCTCTTTATCTCTACCACCTTGCCTAACATCAGCTTCTTCAATCTTGAATCTTTCTAACTCTACATCATAAGCTTCATGTAAGCTTCTGTATAGTTAATCATCACAATTTATTCCGATCAGCCTATATCCATGCTTTCTCTCTATTATCTCTCGTCTATTATTAAAATCAAAATTTCAATATGGCATTTTCAAATGGAATGTATGAAAATAAGAAAAAAATTTCTTTTCTCTCCAATTCCTTCATCTCCCTCTCTCTCAATCTCTCTCTCTTTTACTCACGTATGACCTTTTCTTCTTTCCAAAAGGTATTTGTGGCAAAGAAATTGCTTCCACAGCTTCAATCGTTTCCACCTCAAAAACAACATTTTTTGTTCTTTTAACGTTGAAAGCTTAAGAGGATTTTGTAAATTTTTAAGAAGTAAAGCAGATTTCTGTTTGATCTATGATGATGACATGTAAACAATCCGTCATCACCATGGAACGATATGCAAATTTGACTCTTCAACACGACATTTTCCATTTCACTTTCTCATTGTAAGTTGTTTTACAAGCATTCTAAACTTTCGTTTTTTCTCCCTTTCTTTCCCAACAGCTTATAAACTGAGCAGTTCTTTTTTCATGCTTTCAATTCCATTCTCACAGCAAATATTCACATTGAAGCTGGTTTTGATCACATGCAATACGAACGGTTCAGTCTTCAGACCGGATGCCATGTGGAGATAACTGATTATCTGATTATCAATAGAAATTACTCTGCAACATTGATTGTAACTGTTTCTGGTATTATCCCTCTCATAATCATACCAAATGTAATTTGAAATCAGACACTTTCAGTTGTCATGGCAATGAAAAATCCAATGCATCTCCATCTTTCCTTCTATTTCTGTCTTCCACACTTACTCTCTCTCTCTCTCTCTCTCTCTCTCTCGCTCTCTATCTCTCTCTGTCTCCTTTTCTTCAAAACTTCTATCTCCTTGTGCTCTGTTGTGCTATATGCAAAGATATGGCGTTATTTTCATTTTTTTTCTTCTTATTCCTTATAGCTCAAAATTATTTTTAACTTTGCATTCACTGTGAGGCTAAGGCTGTTCTCCTTCATCTGCTCATTTGTATAAGGACTGAAGTGTTATTGATTCATAATATATGCATATTTCTCTCCTTTTTCTATTTAAAAATTGTTTCGATTTATGAAAATAATCCTGAAAAGTTTTTAAAAAATTCTTTTTTTTCATTTCCCATTGACTCAACAATTGAAATTGGTTTTTGCTTCAATCTCATTGATTGTTTTAAGTTTTTCTGTGATAGAGCTGCTACCTACCTGTTGATTCATGAATATCATGAACTTTAAATGAACAAATAAGATTCGATACTCTCTCTCTCTTTCTCTCTCTATAAGCTTGACAGAGAGATTGAGATCAATGATGCACACATATTACTGTTCGTTACAAGAGTAGAGACAATGCGAGAGATAGATAGAGGAAGCGGCAAAAGACTAAGCACATTGATTTCCTAATGATCCATTGAGCGATTAAAAAAACAAAAAATGATTGTAAAAATAATTTTTTTTAAAATAAATATGAGTCATCTATATCGGAGGACGGTGATGATGATGATCATCATCATCCTCATGATGAAGAAGAAGAGAAAGAAGATGATGATGATGATGAAGAAAAAGCTATGTTTTGATACTCTCTTTTCACCGAAATTCTCTGTTTAACTTTGCCCCTGCCAAGCTCATACACATGCGAACGTCCAAACAATTGATTTCATTGAAGTTTGTGATTAAAATGCAAAAAAGAAAAGAATAATAATTCAGTCTAATCGTTTATAACTGAATATTTATAATAAAGATTATTGAATTATGGGGATATTGATGCGAATTAAAGAATTTGATTTATTGCTTTTCATTCTCTTTCAATTCTTCATCTCAAGTCATAATCGTGAGAAGCTTCTCCTTCAATATTAACCATTTCTTCATCACGTGCATATTGCCTCAACTCAAACCTCGTTTAACACCTCCTCCTCCTCCTCCTCCACCACCTCCATCCTTTTACTCCATTCGTAAACGTCGTTGCGTCGTTCTTCAATCAGTCTTTTTTTTCTTCCTTTCCTTCTCTTCCTCTATCTCCTTCTTCATATATATATTTCTTCAGTCTATTACAATTCATTTCCCAGCTTTCTTCTACGTGTTTGTTCCGAATCTCAGTTCGTATGCCAACTTCACAAACACCAAAAATGGTATGAATTGACAACACACTTCCACGTCCTTATTGCCTCAAATCATCTCAATTTCCAAACATTAACCTTACATTCTGTGTTTTCGTGCCATTCTCTCTCAACCTCTCTCCCCCCCTCCCAACCATCAGAACATTTCCGCCTTGAATGGAATAACATACAACATCGTCTTGTCATTCAATTCATACAGCCTTTCAAAATGTCTTTCAAAGATTTTTTAATTTCATTACTTCAAATGTCTTCTAAGAATGTTTTATCTTATCCAATTAGCAACTCATTCCTTCGAACTTTTTCCTTCAATTTTCATCTGCATGAACATCTCACAAAAGAAAAGTTCAAATATTAAATAAACATCAAAGCCTTTCCGACTTTTTAAAACAAAAAAATAAATTTTTTTTTAAAATTTTTTTTTTATTTAATTCTCCTCCTTGCTCTCCTCCTAATTCTACTTTTTGTCACAAACTTCATGAAAAATTATTTTTTTTTGTTGTGTTTCCATTACGTGGCAACTATTTGATGAAAAGATTACAATCCTCGTTGTTCATACTTTCAGAATTAAAAGAAAATGAAAAGTAAAAGAAACATTTGTAGAAAGCTAATCTATATATTCTTCCATTTGTAATCTGAGACATTAGGCTTTTCCTTTAAAATAAACATTATAATCCTTCTATTTTAGTTCATTCTCTCTTTTATGTTTCCTTACGACCATTCTTTGGCATTTCCGTAATTGGCTAATCTCTCATCATCATCATCATCAATAGAAAATCCTTTCAGTACATTCCATAAATATCTTTTATACAATGTGAATAGATAGCCTCATTTACCTAAATGATTCAATGCTTTTCGTCATCCTATCTATGAGCATATGCACATGTGCATACCCCATAGATACAGCACACGTAGAGCACCCAAATCCTCATCTACGTCAACAAGCCTCTAACATGGATTAAGTTCATTTTTTTTGTGAAATTATCTGATGATAACATACAAATATGGTTATTATGCTCTGAGCTTTATTATATTTAAAATGTTATTTTATTCAATTTCATATAATAGCCAGAAAAGACCAGATGATCCGCTTGTTAATACTTTTTAAAATATTTTTCTCCAATTCACATGTGTCTTTCATTTCTATTTCTTCTTCCCCTCTATCTCTCTCTCTTTTTTTTAATTTTTTATTTTAAAATAACACAAAAATAATATCATTTGAAAATGACAAATTCATTTTTATGATTGTCGATGACTATGTATGACGTCATTGAAAACATATATTCAAATTGAATGGGTTTGAAGAAGAAGAAGAAAAAAAAAGGCTTAAGCTTGCTTCTATTTGAAGTCTATACAATCTTATAATCAGTTTCTATTCACTAACTTCCTCTAGCAAAATCCAGATGGTAGAAAATAACTGTTATCATGAGTAGAATGTTTGCTTAAAACTCACAATCACATAGACAAAGAAGACTTTCTGACTGAAACTTTCGTGGCAATTGCACATTGTGGAATTACTAAGAAGTCTCTTCCTCTGTATTCTTTTCTTTTTCGTATTCTTTACTAAATTTCAATCTGATTCATTCTATTCTATTGCTACAACCCCATACACAAATACACACTACTTACAGATATCTAGATGAGTACAGAGGAATCATCGATTTTTCAAAAGATATGCTGTTGCTACAACAGAGGAACTAAAGAACCTCCAGTAGAGTTAATAAGAAGTACTTTGAACTTTCATCTCGTCTCTAATACAAATCCATTTGAGCTCAATCCATAGCTGGACCAACCACTCAAATTGCCAAAGAGACTGTTGATGGTTTTGAAGAAGTTAATTTAGGTAATTGTAAAAGGAAATTTTCCCAATAATATTTTCTTCGGCTTGATAGAGCAGAGAGCGTCCCTAGAAGCAGCCAATGAAACTGCTGTTGTTGCAAATAAGCCAATTGAAGATGACTTTGTTTTAAATGATATTATGATGGACGAAATTTGTGGGGATACCATTAAGGAAGAGAGAGCTGAACCAATAGTTGAGGTAATTCATAAGCTTCTAAACCGTTTGATAGCAATGCCATTTAAGGATGAAGTATCAATTCATACAAATGTTATTGAAGAAGTTGATGAAAAAGATTTGGTCATGATCAAACAACAATCTTTGAAATCAGAATGGAATGAAACTCCTCAGTTATCTGAGGATTTGACAGATCAAGAAAATATGACTGATCGTTCAAATGAAGAGAAGGTATCCATCAATCAAGTTATTAAGGAGGTGAGCAATGTGAGGTGAAGCAAACTATTGTTTACTTGTAGGGTTATGAATCACCAGGACGACCAGATCAGAATGTATCTTCATCATCCTCAACTAACGGAGAAATTTCTGTCGAGAAAGAAATCAGTTTCGTCGACTCGGATGCTAATGTTGAAGCACATAACGAACCAAAGAGCTCAGAAAACAAAATTTCTCACATCGGTGGAGAGCAACTGAACTTGAAAGAGAGTTTGATGGATGATGATAGTGAAGTAGAAGGTATCGTCATAATTAAGAAATCACTGATTAATTACTTTTTTTTAAAGGAATTGTTGAAAGTGTCAGATCACATTCAGCAGCTGACATAGCTGCCTTACTCAGTGCCCGAAAAGACGATGATGATGGTGATGACAGCGACGACGATGAGATTTTAATCGAAGAAGTTCCTGGTATGATCTGGGAACCTGAAAATGTCAAAACTCAGTCTCATATTACAGATAAAATAACACCATCGTTAGTCGTTCCAAAATCAGTCATGTATGCTGAGTTATCGGATGATGATGAAGAAGAAATCAGCCATCCAGAGATTTTAAGGCCTCCGAGCAGATCAAAACATCATACATTCCATCAAAAGCCTGTTACTGAAGAAAATAACTTAGAAGATGATGTATCTGAATCAGAAGGTGAAGTAGTTGAAGATGTTCCAATTCCTTCACCACGAAGGCATGTGACCAGTCGTGCCGAAGATTCAAAAATGTCTGATACGGATTCAGACGATGAGAACGAAGATGGTACTGTCGAAGAGGATAAAGAAATGACGGTGCCAATTCGATTAAGTGAAATCTCACCAGGACATGAGAAAGAGAATGAAGGTGTTACAAGACTCTCCGTGAAAAGTGATGGAAAAGCAACAATCACAAATGGATCAGTAAGACTTGCATTGGATATTCGTGATGTCACAGATGATGAATTCTCTGAACAACTCATTTGATCAGCTCAAAAGGACAATAATTGGTTGAAGCTGAGCTTTCTCTCTTAACTATCAAGAAGAGAATCAGTCAACTAATTTTTTCATCGGGTATTCTGTCATAATGTTCAAATTTATAGTGTTTGCAATTAAATATTTCAACTATTTTCATGTTTTATATTTCTCTTGGAAACTCTCCGAGAGCTTGTTTCCACAAGGATATCTATTCTTCTATCAGAACTTAGGAATTCTAACTAATAGCCTTTCAAACGTGATCTCACAATCAAATATATATTGATTTGATTTTTTTAACAGCGAAACTATCCAGACTCTTCCAGAATTATCAAAAACTGATTCAAATAATTGTGCACGCGAACCAAATACGCTGTTCAACTTTTTCACTTTCCGGAAGTTTCTCTAACTCGTGTTGTTTCGGTACAGAAGTACATTATATTTTTATTTATTATTAGTTTAAACGTTTATTTCTGTTAAGTGCGTCCTTAGGAGGAAAGGTTGTCTCTTTGAAAGTATTGTCAGTTCATCTCTCCTCAGTTTGATTGGGTGAGGTTATTCGAATAAGTCATAGTCTGAGCTTTTTTTCCAACGATTATATCATTATCTTCTCTTGTATTCTGTCTGTGTGTAGTTGTCTCAACGAGATCAAAAAAATCTGGAAGTAGAAAATGTCTTTTTGGGATGTTTTTGATGTTTGCCGATTAACCTGAGGTATTCAATGAGAATGGAAAGTTCTGATGCATCAAAAATATTTTTCTATAATTCTTTCGGCTTCTATGTTTACTGCTTACTGTAAAGGTGTTGCCAAAATCAGTTTTTTAGTATATTCTATCTTTCACTGAATCATATAGTAATACAGTTTTCTTTTTTTTTCTAATTTTTATTTATAACTGTTGTATAAGTCGTACCTTCCTTGATCTCACTTCTTCATATAGTTTGTACATTCACAATCATCCATAATATTTGGTGTTTGGGTGGAAAGAATAAGTTAGAGAATAGAAAAAGCCTAAACGTTCGTCTATAAATGAGAAATATGAAGTGCAATTCGCTCAAACTTGGCCCAGTTGAATTCTTCTGTATTTTCATTTTTCACAGTTTTTGGAAATTTGGTTTGAAATGTGCTTGGTCATGTCCTTCTTCAGTTTCTGTCTAATCTGTTGTAGTTGTAATATTAATATTTTCGGATTCTTTCATGAATATATCACTTCAAAGATGGAATCGTGAGACTAAAGATGGCATAGGTTTGATTACAATTCAGCAGAATTGATGTCACTGAGCTTGTGTGTTAGTAGGAAGCAGATTACCATCTATTCCCTGTTTATGATTGTCTTTTGGATTCCCTATAAGTGTTGTAGTTTACAGCCTAGTCGTACCTCGATGTGCTCTCAGTGAGAAAATCAATTCGTAGATGATTTATCCTCATCCAGTAACTTCTATGATTGGCAGAAAATGATTTCGTTGTTCGAATGTTAGTATTGCTTTAATCCTGTTTTTGCTGGTCAAAGTGTGACCCTCCTCTCCCCTAACAAATGATGTTTGAATAAAGTGATAAAGATCTGTTTTTGATAAGACTTTGACTTCTACTTTGGGGGAAAGCAGGGATCCTGAACTGCTGAACAGAGCCAGTAAAGTGGTCAGTCTTCTTCCTCAGTTACTATGAAAACCAACTCTGGATTGAATCTCATTTACGGTTATCATCAGTCTCGGTTTGTAGCTTTTAAAAAAATTTGTTCTTTTGGATTCCCTATAAGAGTTGTAGTTAACAGCCTAGTCGTACCTTAGTCTCCTGTACTCTTATTCTCATGTACTCATAGTATGGTGTTGACAAATTCACTGTCATCATTTATCCTCAACGATTGATGTCTATGATGTTATAAAACATGGTTTGAAGCAAATGGAGAACTAATTCCCTTTTCTTGGAACAAACCCCACCTCTGTTTTCGTGTTCGTTCATTTCTTCCATTCTTAGATTTACGAGAGATTGTGGTTAATATGAGTATCTTCTTGTTTGATGGAGTCAAAAAATATTTTCTCGTTTGTGGCTGTTTGAGAAATTTTTCTGTTTCGTCCTTCTATTGTTTTATGGTTTTATGAATCTATGTCGAATTTAACCGGAAGTCAATCGTCTGCCACAACTGGAGAACGCTCTCCAATCAATGGGGGAAACGTTCTTGATTGAGTCTCTTGTATTGCATTTGTGGCAAATAGTCATAACTGTGTCTTAGTTTTCCTATCAAAAAGCATGGAACAATGCGTGTGCTTGGAACACAGGAGGGTCGAACAAAGAAAATATTATTATGGTTCATGCAGAAGTTTTAACTGAGAAGACCCCTTTACTTGTACGGTGTAGAAGGCTCAAAAGGAACTGCGACTCCTCAAGTTTTAGCAGAGTCATGTGAAGATGGAACGGCTGAGTCTAGACGACTACCGTTGAGAACAAGATTATCAGCACCTTCAGCTTCTTTCCACAATGGGTATTGAGTTAGTTCATTGGATGTGATTCCTCGATGATATCTGTTGATTATCGTTTCATGAAGCTATTTCATCGATCTGCTCTCCTCAATGCTATGACTGATTCTCCCATGTTCACAGTTGTCCTAAACGTGACTATTCTGTGTTGCTATTTGTCTCAGAGAAATTTCAATTTTCCAGAAACCATTTTAATTATAAAAAAATTTTTTTTAATGCCTCTCAATAGATGGTGGTGATTTGAAACATGCAAGAAGTGCAAATCGTACAAAGCGAAAGTCGTACAATATACGGGGCGGGACTCGTACAGTGTACGGAGCGGAAGTCTATATGTACGTGAGGTTTCACGT